CAAACAGGGCTCCCAGAGGAGTGAGTTCTGCTGGGTGTGCTCTTCCCTCACACCTGTTGCTGGCTGCTGAGAGACAAAATGCTGAGCTGCAGACAGTGCTGTGCTCCAGCAGCTCCCTCGGGTTTGCTGTGGGATGATCTGCTGAGAGGTAAAGCTGCCACTTCATTTTTAATGCTTGAGCTCAGCCCTTCTGGGAGCTGATGCTCTGAGGGGTGTCCTGCAAATCCAAACAAAATCTGTGTTTAAATAAGATTCCAGATGAAACCCTGCCCTGACAGCAGGTAAGAATGCACATGGGAAGGAGTATTTTCTGGAGGCTCAGGCCCTTGCTGTAGCTCATTAGACTCTGAGTCTGCATCTGGTGATATGGATCTACAAGGTCTGTGTGTGTGTGTGTGTGTAGTGTAGGGAGGGGAAGCAGGGAGCATCCATAAATATTAATATTCCTCCAAATGCTTGTTTGTATGTAGACAGGCTCCCAGGGACATTGCCACGTCTTGTAGGTGTCAAGACCTGAATAATTTGCCTAGTTCCTTTTTTTTTCTTCTTCCAGATGCAAAGCTATTAAAAGAAAAAAAACTGAAAGTGCATGCAGTTGGGTCCTGTGGCTGGCTCAGGAACACAGGAGGCAGTGTTCAGCGCTGCCATAAGGAAACAAATATGCACATCTACCCGAGAATTCCAGATTTCACTCAGGAAACCAGCTCTCACTTGGAGCTTCCAAGCAGTTAGTGTACATAACAGACAGCTCAGCTTTTGAAAAATGCAAAGAAGCTCTGGACTAGCCATTCAAATGACAAGAAGCAAGTTAATTAAGAAAAGAAAAATGGACTCTTTTCCTTATGCAAATAAGGGACTCCAGTTCAATCCCGGGAGCTGCAGCCAGCGGATGTGAGGTCAGAGCCCAACTCGTGCCCCTGGCCTGCACAGGGCTATCTTTAGCTTTTCCTAGAGCATGGTTTGGATAAACCCAGCATGGAATGCAGCTGCTGGGTGGGCCTTTATTCCCTCATTTCATGCTAATTGTCACATTTGGCTGAGTGGTGGCTTTGAAGGCGCTGCCTTGTTTCAGACCAGCGCAGGGTGGCCGTCCCCAAGCCATGTGTGCTCACCCTGCTGTGGCCCTGGCCTTGGGCAGCCTCGGGAGCCTCTTCCTTTTCCTTTCTGCCATTCAGAGATGTGTGAAAGGGAGTTTGGTAAATCAAGGGTCATGTCCTTTGGAACTGAAATCCCTTGATGTCTTTTACCTGTGGTTCAGCTCTGCCTGGGTTCCTAAGGGTCTCCCCCTGAGGAGGCTGCCTGGCTTCCCCAAGGCTGGTGGGGCTGTGTCTGCTCCCTTCCTGGGCCTGGCCAGAGATGCTCCTTGGTGGTTATTTGCAGTACAGGAGCATCCAGGGCCCTGCTGTGGTGAGAGACACAGTCATGGGTGTAAGATCTGTAGGAAAAAGGGGCAGTGAGAGCTGGCAGATTGGGTGGGATCCCAGAGGGCTTGGGCCAAACTGCTCTAGGAAGAGGAGTGAGTGACACAAGGTGTTTGCTGACAGCAGAGCTGACTGAGAGCACGAGGAGGTGCCAGTGCTGCCTGGGTGTGAGACTCGCTTTCTTTTAACCCCCCCGTGAAAGCGGAAGGATCCTTTGGTACTGAATCAGAGGGTGAATCAGCAGTGAAACCTCAGGCTGGGAAATGCTTGAGTGCAGGGAGGGGGGGAGTGCTGGAGCTGCCTGTGCTGAGGGCTGCCTGTGAGATCTCCATCAGAACAGCATGGAGAGGCCAGTGCTTTGCTGGAGTATTGCAGGCTGTGTTCTGGGGTGCAATATGCAGGAATGGATGAATTCTGGATGCTGGCACAGCCTTGGGAGCAAAGCTTATCTCTGAGTTGCTTCATTCCTTGGAAAACACCTTTGCTGGGCTGATCCATGCTGTACCTGTTCTCTGTGAGGGCTCTCCCTGCCTGGGAGCCCAGCTGGAGGGTGGCAGGGCTGTTCCTGCCATCCCAGTGTGGCAGAGGGCCAGCACTGTGGGGTTTGATGCTCTGAGCTCCTACCCAAGCTCACCTTGGCAGCTCAGGGAGAAGCCTGAGTGGTGCTGGGGCCATGTGCCTGGAGCCAGTGCTGTGTCCTGGGCTCTGTGTCCCCATGGCAGCTGCAAGGGCAGCGAGAAAGCAGCCGAGCTGCTGGCCAGCAGCCTGTGCCCCTCACAAAGGCAGGGCTGGACGCTGCTGTGCCCCTCACAAAGGCAGGGCTGGACGCTGCTCACAGAAGCAGCTGCTGGTGATGCTCCTCTCCCGGGGCTGCTGGCTGTGCCCTGCCCTTTCCTCGAGCAGATTCCTGACCTCAGCCGAGCTGGCTGGAGCGGAGCAGCCGGTCCCCTGCTGCTGAAGCAACAGGCAGCATTCCTGCTGATTTCCATGGAAGGGCGTTTATTTGTGGGAGCAGCCGGTGCCCGCATCCCTGCGCGCTGAGGTCAGAGCCGCTGCAGCATCCCGGCGTTGCCGTGGGGACAGAGCCGCGGGCAGAGCAGCGGGACAGTGCCGGCATTGTGCAGCTCCCGCAGCCCCAGCCCGGCCCGTGAGTCAGGCCCGGCCTCTCCCGGCACGGCACGGCCCGGGCAGGGCAGGGTGTGTGCCCCGCCGTGCCCACGGGCAGCACTGACAGCTTGCCATGCGGGGAGGGTAAATAAACATCGCCGCTGCACAGGAGCTGGGGGTGTTTGCAGGCTGGGGCTTGCTCTGTGTGTGTGTGTGTGTGTGTGAGCGTTGTTATTCACACCTGCACCGTGGGGCAGTGCCAGGCTGAAAGCGCTCTCTGAAACGCGGTGTTTCAGGGCTAAGCTGGGAAAATGTGCGCTGTCTGAAGCCCGGGTTTTGATGGGCTGTCACTGTGAGTAAGGGGTGTGTTCTTTGTTCAGCAGACTTTTAAATTACACGTGCACATACAAGTACATTTGCGTTTCCCATACCAAACATGAACCTCCCGCCACTGGCTTTGCTGCTGTGTTGAGTTTTGGTTCTGTACCTGTTGTACCTGGCACAGATAATTCAGTTTAAGGTGCGGGGGGCAGCCTTAGCTGTGGGTGTGCTGCATGGGGAGCTGACAGGCTCACCTGTTCCTTGAGGTGAAGCTGCTCAGCCTGAGAGGTTTCTGCTCCTGCTGGTGCACAAACCCTGCCTGGAGCCTGGCACCCAGCCTGGCCCTGCCTGGGGCTGGTTTTGCCCCCTGGCATCATGGTTGTCCCCAGAGCCATGCTTTGAGGCTGTGGGGGTGTGTTGCTCTGCTCAGCGTGCAGACATGACGAGTTCTGTTCAAAGGGAATCTCAGCAGCAATCTCGAGGCTCGATGTGTCAGACCTGAATGATGGGGATGACACACTGCTCCTGAGTGCCAAAGCTCTGAAATCAACGGCGCTAAAAATACGTTTGGCTCACAATTCAGTGACTCGTTGCTGTTTTCCTATCCCCAAACCAGCTGTGTGCTGGGATTAAAAGCCAGAGGGAACCTTAAGAAATGTGCAAGCTGGGCTGTCGTGTGCAGCTCCCCTCCTGTCCCAGCCATTCTGTGTGTTGGTTTGTTTGCTCTGCTCTTGGGGTTTCCCACTGAACACAAAGGCTCAGCAGTTCCTAAAAATGAACAGAAGCCTGCTGAAAACAAGTCAGAATATCTCTGCATGTAGAAGTTTCACTGGGAACTTCTGCTGCTTTTGCAGAAAGCACAGTCAGCTCCTGCCTGGCTTTCTGTGTGGTATTTTCTCATGGGAATTGCTGTCTAATGTCATGTAGGAGTTAGACAAAATGCTGGAGCAGTAATTTAAATATTTAAATGAAACCCTCTGCCTGTGACATGCACTGATCTGTGCCCAGAGTGAGCAGATAGGGTGAATTAATCCCAAATTGTGGAGCTGTTTCTGGTATTTCCTGTTGGAAACACTGAAATCTTTAAAAACATATACAAATCCTGGTAATGTTTTGCACGTTTTTGTGTCATGACAAATATTCTTCAGCTCCAGGGGCTGATGTACGTGGGAATACCTGCCATGGCTCTGCTCTCTGGGATGCCACTGCCATTGCACATCCTCAGGTGCTGGGACCAGGCTGGAGCTGGGCTCTGCAGTGCTGGTGGGAATTCTGTGTTCCCTGGAAGCATCCCTGTGCTCTGCAACCTGGGCAGAGTTTGCAAAATGGGAATCTCTGAAAATTGAGGGGTTTGGGTACCAGCAGAGAGAGGGTTCTACTGAACACTTACTTGTTATTGTGTATTTTATAACCCCTGTCTGAAAATGTTCCCTGGGCTGAAATTGGAATGGGATTGCCCTTAACCACAGGGCTGGATTCTTCCTCCCTGTCTCTTCTCTAACAAATATTTGTGAATGTGTTTTCTGACTCACATGAATCCTGTCACCAAACTTGCTGTCATGATGCAGGGCCAAACAAATCATCACACAGAACTGACTTTTCAGTTTAAGAGTTTGAGCTCAGCTTGGGTTCATGAAGCCTTTCCTGGCTGGGTTTGGCTGTGTAAGGAAGGTGTTTCTCCCTTCTCCAAAAGCTGTTCCTCAACATTTGGTTTTATGTAGACCTGTTTGGAAGCGATTTTGTGATGTGCTGGTTTCAGTCCAGCTCCTGGTTGGCAAAATGCGACCAAAGTCACAGCACCCGGGTGTCCTTGGCAGGAGGCTGTGGACAGAGGGGCTGACACGCTGCTCACCTGCCCAGGGATCCCTCAGGTGAGGCTCAGGCAGCAGGAGCCTGGCTGGAGGTGTTTGCAGTGCTTCTGTCCATGCTGCACCTGCCCTGAGCACTTGAGCTTCCCTGGCTCTTAATCCAGTACTTCTCACAGTGAAAAAGAATCAAATAATAAGCTAATATCAGATCACAACCAGTTTATAAATATGCATTTTTTAATCCATGATTGCTCAGCTTCTGTAACATTATTTACAGTCTGAAAGAGACCCTTCTTTTTCCAGAAGAACCGACTCCACATAAAAGCAACAGCCCACCCTCTGGAGTTACATACGCTCATGATGTCTTGGACTGTGGCCTCAAGCCATGCCCCCTGCCTTTTCCTAGCCTTGCTGCAGATCCCATGGGCAGATATGGACAGCCAGATAGCATAGGGCCAACACCTACTCACCCTGCCAACGCTGCAGGGGCCTCTGCTCCGAGCCCTAGGATTGAAATAACTCCATATCACGAACTGATCCATTCGGGGGGGCCCTTCCGCAGCAGAGACACAGATGTTCTGTTGGCAGAACATCAGCCAAACTCAGCCACCACTAGCCCCAGGGTTACCCTGCCTGTCCCTGGCTTTGAGGGCTACAGAGAACCACTGTGTCTGAGCCCAGCTAGTAGCGGCTCCTCTGCAAGTTTCATTTCAGAGACAAATGTATCTCCTTGCACGTCTCCATGTGTTTCACCAAATAATGGTCCTAGTGATGACCTTTGTCCGCAGTTTCAAAACATCCATACTCATTATTCTCCTAGAACCTCTCCAATAATGTCACCACGAACAAGCACCACGGAGGAAGCCTGCTTGGGACGCCACTCACCATCTCCCTGTCCCAACTCAAGGTCCTCGTCGCCAGGCGCAAAGCGGAGGTTCTCTTGCACGGGGCTCTACAGCGCCCAGCTGCCCTGCTCCTCGCCCCGGCAGTCCCGCAGCCCCTCTCCACAGCCCTCTCCTCGCCTGCCCCCGAGAGAGGACGCCTCTGCAGCCACTTACACGCAGCTGGCCAGCGCTGCCCTTGCCATGGATGCTATGAGCAGCCTTCCCACGGATCCCTCCTGCGGCGTCCCCACCAAGATCTGGAAAACCAGCCCCGATCCTTCGCCCATGGCTTCCCACAAAAACAGCATTCCGTGTCACGTCTTTCAGACTGTCGACTTCCACGGGCCTTGTGAGCAGGAGGACAGGAGAAACTCGGCCCCAGAATCCATTCTGTTGGTTCCTCCATCCTGGACGAAGCAGCTGGTGCCTGCCATACCAATCTGCAGGTATGTAATGCTTCCTGTGGGTGTTTTCCATGTTTTTCATGGTTTGGTGTCCTCTGTCATGGCTGATGATCCCTAGGGAGGGTTTTCTTGGGCAGGTCCTGCTGCAGGCCAGAGCTGAGTGCTCAGGGACAGCACTGGTTAATGGGAGCATGGTCCATTAGGACTCTGAGATGAAAAAGTCAGGTTTTTTAAGAAACATCACCAAAGAGGTTCATTGATAGCACAGTACACTATAAATTTAAATTTCCAAATGATTTGTCTAAATAGCAGATTGTAGACAGCCTTTGACAAAGGCTGAACACTCTGGTGCCATCCTGCTGCTCTTAAAATTTGTAAAGTCACTTACCAATTTCCTTCAAGGATTAAAATGCTTGAAGTAATGCCTGATTCCAAGCAGAGCTCACTGCTCCAGGTCAGACTGAGCAGTCAGTCAACTCTGGTGACTTTGTGTTGGTTGTCACTTTGTCAGCTGTCCCTTAGCCCAAATCTCAACCCTCCATTGTCTGGCCCTGTGGCATCTGCCAGGACCGAGGGTGCCAAGTGTGTGACTCTGCTCCCAGTCCCTGCTGGCACCCTGTCAGTGCCATCCTGCTGGCTCTGAGGTTGGCCCAGGGTGTTCCTGACCTGCTGAACACAAACTGTGAGTGAAAGAGCACAGGCTGTGACTCCCTTGGCCTGTCAGACCGGTCCTGGCAGCAGCCTGTGCTCACAGAGTGAGAGTGGCTTAAAATTCAGTGCAGGCTTTAGTTGTACCTTGCAGTGTATTCATTTCATGTCATAAACCCTTATGTATTTTCATAACAGGAAAACTAGTACCAGGTAAGAATGTTTAGCATTTTATTGATGTGCATTTTCATATTTATGGAAATCTTACAACTGTTAATTTACACAACTGGTAGGTAGTGGCAAATGGAGTTAATATTTCACAACACGTGTGCTGTGATCCAAGCTGGAGACACACAGCAAAAGCTAGGTAAAAGAGAGGGATCTTTGAATAAACAAAAGCTAGATAAAAGAGGGAGGTCTTTGAATAAATAAAAGCAAGGTAAAAGAGGGGGATCTTTGAATAAACAAATGCTAGGTAAAAGAGGGGGATCTTTGAAAAAAGAAGAGCTAGGTAAAAGGGAGGGGTCTTTGATAAAATGTAACTGCTACAGATATTTCTGTTTAAGAAACAGAAATATCTTACTCTATTCTGCAAGGTGATGGGCCCACAGAAGTTGTCTTCTCAGCAGAGCTTGCAGTCAGGTGTGAGCAGTCCAGCAGAACCTCATGGGAGTTGAAGCAGACTCCTGAACGTTCCGGGTGGGGCGCTGGGAGGAAGGGGAGACCGGGCTTTGGGAAATGAGGTTCTCAGGAGTGTCCCTGTTGGTGTGTGACTCTCTCTGTGTCCCAGCCTGCCCGTGCAGTCCCTGCCTCCCCTGGAGTGGCCCCTGTGCAGCCAGTCTGGCCCCTACGAGCTGCGCATCGAGGTGCAGCCCAAGCCCCACCACCGCGCGCACTACGAGACCGAGGGCAGCCGCGGCGCCGTCAAGGCTCCCACCGGGGGCCACCCCGTGGTCCAGGTAAGGCCTGGGGGTCTCCTGCAGGAAAAAGGGGGGCAAGTTCATCTCTGAGATGCTGTCTGGGGGCTGTCCCTGAAAGAGGAGCTCACCCTGTGAGCCTTGGGATGTGCTTAAAGGGTGTGAGCTGAGCCGCGGTGAAGTCCAGGATTTCGGGAAGGTTGGTTTGGATTGGCTTCTGAAAGCTCAGAAATGTGGGCAATGTATTTGCTGGTTTTTCTGGGCTGTATGAACCTCGTGTGATCCCCTGTCATGACTGTCATGAGGTGCCTGGGAAGTCACTGCTGAGGCAAAATTCAGGCTGCCATGGTGGAGAGAATGAATTTGTCCCCTTGCTGACCTGAGAGCTGAATGAGCTGAACCCTTCTTCTGTTTGGAGTGTGAACAGCTTTTCCTTCACCTTTCAAAGGGTGGTGTAAAATACTGGCTGAGTAGCTGCAGCATAGCCAAGTGGGGGCACATCAGTCATTTCCCTCATTTCCCCTGTTTTCAGCCCATGTTTCCTGAAGGAAAGCCAAAGCCAGGCTGGGGTCGGGGCTGTGCTGTGTCACTGGGAGAGTGCTGGAATGATGTGTGGAAGCTGAACAGGTCAGCCACAGCTTCAGCCCTCACTAAACAAAGTTGGCTGCATCCCACAGATGTTGCTGACACACTCAGGGCTTGCAGGAACCAGGAAAACATTAACATTTATGTGTAATTTCAAGCATGTGATCAATACCACTAATTTCACTGGGTTGATTTGTGCTTAACTTCAAGCATATGTTCAGTACTCCCCTGCAGGCTCACCCCCTTTTAAAATCAAGCCATAAATTGTTAAATCAATGAATTTGTTTGCTTTGATGGAGCTGGACTTACATGTATGGCCTGGGTATTTGAGTAAAGGGTGCAGGGTAATAATAAACAGCAGTCCCATTTGCCATACCTCAGAAATGCAGGCTTTTTGGTTTGGGGCTGACAAGCTCACAGCCTCCTGTGGCGTGTTTGAAGCTGCCTAGAAGCAGGAATGATAGCAATCAGCACTTGCTCCTTTCTCAGTTTGGCTGCAACTGCAGTATCACTTACCCTCCCCAGGTATTCCTATCAACAGGGTCCTTATTGCAGTGGAGGAGTTTTTGTGACATGGGCAAATAGAATTTGTTTCCTTCCTGCAATCAATATCAATCAAAGAGGCATTTAGATTTTCTGTTGAGGACAGGAACCAATATTGCTAGTTTTATCATAATTTGCCATCAAGCTTCAGGATCTAAAACTATAAATTCAAATGTCCACTTGAGCTCCCCAAGCAGATGTGCTTCTGCACAGCTGGGTCTGCATCTGGGGAAAATATGGACAGTGTCTTTCTGAAGGTTTCTTGTAAAGCTGGAAGTATTTGTTGAATTTGTGTTCACTTGAACATAACCAGGTTCATATGGATGCCAAGTAATGAGATAGCTGCACCTGTATGGTTTATGACATCTCAGGCTGGGGGAGGCTAGTAAAATCCAAAGTTTTCATGTCAGAAGTTATTTGGCTTCAGGGGATCTTTTCTTTCCCTCTCTTTCTTTCCTCTCTGTGAAGTTTAACTTTTGTCTTCTTGTTAGATGTAAACAGAGCATGTTTCTAAAATACAATCCCTTTTGAAACAAATCTGATTTTAAAAAAGCCTTTAATTAACCCTTCATGTGACTAATGACCCAGCTGAACCTGCTGGCAGAAGAGATCTTGGCTGGTTTTTGCAGCACGGTGCTGCCCTGCAATATTTATTTTTTTTGGAAAATGCATTTTGCATGCAGATTTCTTCTTTTGGGTGCTCTGAAGCTACAGACCAGCAGATCTCATATCCCCCAAGCCTTATCTTGTGGTTTATCTTTCTGATGCTGCTTCCTCTTCTTCACGTGTCACGGCTCGAGTTTGCGCTCCAGGCTCTGCACTCCAAGCATGGCAGGAGAAGGGCTGGTGGTCAGGGACATGGGGAGGGGACATTGGCTGTGCCAGGAGCAGGGGAGAAGCCCTGCAGGCCATGGGATGCTCACATGTGTGATCTCAGGGCTGTGCAGAGTCCCATGGGGGAGCACAGGCTCCCAGCTCAGGTGTTTGCGCCACTCCTGGCAGGAGTTTACAGCTCGTGTTAGCTGTAGGGAAGCTCAGGTGTTAGGGCTGTGGGTTGGATGTGAGTATCCCCTGGATGTTAAGGTGCTGAGAATAGCCAGGAGATGCTTTGTAGCTAGAGCAAAGCTGAAGTTTCCCTGCTCCTTCCATCCTGCAGGTCCCCCTGGTCACTGAGATCACAGAGGAGGGGAAGGCACGTTTGATTCCCAGCTCTTTTTCCCAAAGCTGCTTATTTGTACCCAGCTGCTCCAGTCAGGGCTGTGCAAGAGCCTGTCCCTTGGGAAAGGCAGTGGCTGCTGCTGTGCAAAGAGCTGGGACAGAGGTGGCAGAGCAAACACACCCTGGAGTGGAATGGCACAGGTTAAATTCCCTCTGTTTACCTTGGTACAACATCCAAACGCAGAGCAGAGCTGCCAAACCCCAGTGCTCAGGTGAGGGCAGGGGCAGGCACAGGGACCCCCAGCCCCTCCACCCCTGTGTGCCAGGCTCCCCTTGCTTCTCTCCAAGCAGGAAAGCTGTGCAGAGAGGGGCTCCTGTTCAGCACAGCCAGCCCAATGCTCCCCTGGGTTTAACTTTTAAAATTGTGGTGGCTTTCACTGCCTCTTTTTATTTTTCTTATTAAAAAGAAGCTGGAATGGCAGAGTTGTTAGTGGAGCTCACAGGAGCTGCTTTACAATAACAAACGTATGTTCCACTTTCCTTTTATATTTGAATTTTGCCGTCTGTGTTTTCTTGTGGTTTCACAGTCAAAGGAGACATTGTTTCTTAGCCTGGGCTTCCCATGGGGCTCTGACTTTTAACTGTATGTGACTTCCAACATTCAGCTAATTCATTGGTGTGTTAGTGAAACCAGAGCCTTTGATGGAAACTCAAAACCAAATCACAGCTCATGGGGTGATTCGCACTCTCACACGTGGGGCCGGGCTGGAGCTGAGCTGCTGAAACCCTGTCAGCCCTGCCGGGGGGGGTTGCTGCCCAGGGCACATCCCAGAGCTGCGTTTGTCCTTTCCCCACCTTCCCCAGGCCCCTGTGCAGGGCAGGGCTGTGCTGGAGCTGCTGGTGCTGCACAGCACCTTTGTGCCACCTCCGGCCTGCTCTGGAGCTGGGCTTGGCTGCTGCAGGGTTTGGTGTGACAGAGCACCTGCACCTTTCACACCTGATTTACTGCAGGGTACAGGGCTTGTTTGCACTGTGGGGTCCTTGCAGGGGCCTCTTGAGCTTTGAGCTCTGGGCCCTGGGTTTATTTACTGCTGCGGGGATTGATGTGCAGTGGCCAAACCAGAGATTTCAGCTGCATCTGGGAAATCCTCTTCAGAACCAATATGCCATCAAATGTGAGGGTAGGTCAGCAGCCCCGTGCTGTGCTGCAAGCATGGCTGTAATTCTGAGTGGAGGTGAATGAAAAGCTCTCACTGAAACTTTTGAGCCTGATTGAGAATACATTGCTTTTCATGGAGAGGAGTTTAGGCAGAGGTCAGGGGAAGCAGTGTGTACCAGCTGGTTTGAGGGGGATGCCTGTGCTGTGCAGGTTTTGTGGGTCACAAATACTCCTGGAAGAGGCAGCAGCAAGATTTAGTTATTCTTTGCTGTACGTTCTCACTGCAGGACTGTGCATGCGGAGTCAGTGTGCTGTAAAGCAAAGCTGGAGTTTCAGATGTGGGCACTTCCAGCACAGAGCTCACCCCATCCAGAGCCTGCTGGAGTGTCCTCAGGAGGATTCACACAGGGTGGGCAGTGTCCTGTAAACTCCCACCAGAGCTCTCTGCTCACGGGCTTCCCTGCCCAGCTGAGCCTCCAGCTCTCCCTTGCTCTCTCCAGACTGATGTCTGTGCAGTTGGAAGTGCCCTTTTCACCATGGCTGCTGTCAAGCTTTGTGCCACACCGGAGTGGCACAGGGGGAGGCTCCTGGGGAAGGATGAGCTGAGTGTGGCAGAGGAAGGTGAGGTTTTAGAAAAGCCCTGCTTTGCCACCCTCTGCTCTGCTCCAGCTGGGCTGGGGCTGTTCCACAGTGCCTCTGACAGCTGGCAAGGGTCCAGCCTTGCTAACTGGTGCCAGAGCCCCGTGCTGAGGGACTCTTCCAGTGTGATTCTGTCAAAATCATCAAATTTTCACCCTCTGGTTTCCTGGTGGCACAGTGAGTTCTGTCGTGCTGGGGAGGTTTAGCTCCTTTGTCATGAGCGTGCATGGAAGTGCTTTAATGGCACAGTTGGTTTTCTTAGCCAGCTGTGAAGATGAGAGCTCCAAACCCTCCTCCCTGCACACGGACAGATGCATTGTGCCTCTTCTTTTAAAGTGTCATCTGAGAGAGCCAAAGCATCCTGAAAACAGGAGCAGCTCCTCACAGGGGCAGGGAAACTGGAGCCCAGAGAGGAAACAACTTGCTTACATTGCGGTGTGAGGTCAGTCAGGAGCAAACCCTCCTGACTGCTTTCTCCAGGGGCTGCTGTCTCTGTGTCCCAGACAGAGACATTAATTATTATTATATTATCCCCATCTGAAAGCAGAAATCCCAGTAAGACACTGGGAGTCTGGTTGTCATTTACTGTAAGGAACAGCAGAGCAAGTGAGATTCAGCCCTTGGAATTTTGACTAAACTGTCACCAAAATAAGAAACACTTAAAACTGAGTATCAAAAAAATTATAATTTAGCAGAATCAGATGTTCAAAGGATTGTCTACAGAGGGTTTTTTAGACAGCTTTGGTAGGGAGCAAAAGGAACTAAGGCAAAGATTTCCTTCTGGTTTGCGTTCTTTTGCAGTGTCCCAAGTACATTAAATTGAACAAAACCATGTGAGAAGATTGGGCTTTGTTGCTCAATGTCAGCTCTAAGTGAAGCAGGCAGAGGAGCTGCTACATGATACAGTGGCTGGACGAGGTCTTTGTTGAATTCCTGACAGTTATTGATATGCCACTCT